TGGCGTTTTGCCTTATTCCCCCTGAAAAGATCCTGTGCAGTACTTTAAGTACAACACAGGCTGTGGGGAGGGAGGGAACCAGTGACTTCTTAAGCAGGCAGAATTTGAAGGGAGGCTTCTACCATATAACAGCTGGGAGGCAGCCAGGGAAATTGGCTTATTTGGGTTGTTTCCCCTTTGGGGACCCCGGTAACGTTCGCCCACATGAATCACCCTGGGGAATTTGATAGGGATCAACATCCGGCCTGTCGTGGGAGGACGGGGACCCAAAACAGCTGCCCTCTCCCCGCTCCTCCCAACCCCCCTCAAATAATGCTATCGTTGTACTCAGCAGAGGGAGGGGTCTTCCTCCCAGGGGACCAGCCCATTCCAAATGGACACGCCCCCCCAGGCTGACGGAGCCAGGCAGTGCTACCTTGACATTGGAGTGGACCGCCGACTCCGGGGGGTAGACGATGAAATGTCGGAGGGTGAAGCCGAACCCCCCCTGCGAGCTCTTCCGAAGCAGCACTGTCTTCGGCCCCACCCAGGGGAAGGGCTCCTCCAGGGGGGCGTTGTCATTCGGAGAGGTCCCATCTCTCCGGCCCAGCGGCGGCTGTCGGGGGGCAAGAAGAAAGCGGTTAAGGGAGATCTCCAGTTGGATTACTGTGTTCTTCCCTCCTAGCCCCCCATGTCAGCCCCATGAAAGAACGGACGGCCTGGTGGTTACGGCACTGGGCTGGCACTCGGGGCACCAGCCTGCTGGGTGACCTGGGTTAATTCATTTCACCTCTGTCAGCAGCGCCTGGCACTGCGGGGCCCTGATCGCAGCTGGGCCTCTGGGGGCTAATTCATTATTGTGACGCATTGTTGGCGTCACGGTAACACCAATCCAAGATCAGGGCCTTGTTGTGCCAGGCTGTGACACGGGCGCTATACAGGTGTCGAGCAAAAAGACTGGCCCAGGCCCAGGAAACCCGTCTACATTTCCCACCCAAAAAGTTTCCATGTCCCAAGAGAAATTCCTATCCGTACATTCGTTTATTCCCCTTCCCACACAGGAATAGCTACACTGGCATAAGGACCCTGATCAACAACTGAGGCTGGGGTCTACCCTGGGAATGAGACCGGTATCACTGAAGGGACCCGACTGGCAGGAGCTGCGCTGGAGAAGGCTCTTGCACCGGCTGCCGGGAGCGTGTGTGAAGCTGGAGGGAGACGAGGCCAGTGCACGGACGGTGGGGGAGAGAGCGAGACAAGTGCTGCGTGGCTGTCTGGCCCGAGGGGCAAACGAGGCAGGGGCTTTGAACTGGATCCCGGAGTGAATGGGGAGCCGGCGGGGTGGTGTGAGGAGGGGGATGCGGCTGGGGAAGGCCAAAGGCAGTGTGCTGGAGCCTGGGGAGGGGAACTGCTAGGACAGGGGCAGCATGCAAAAAACCTCTCCTTCCAATTACACCCCTGGTGAGAACCAGAGCATGGGGGAAGCCGGGAAGGGGGCAGGGGGCGGGCATCACTGTGGGCCCTGGCACTCAACACTTCCTGGAGCAGATCCCACGTCCCAGGGCCTGGGGCTCAACAACCTCCCATTCCTCCTTCCCTTCCTGCAGGCAGCCGTCCGACTCGGTCTCCTCCTTGCCACCCCCCCACAATAAAGAGTGCTATCGCCTAACGGCAGCGGGCACATTCTGACCGACGCCCAGATCGGACAATCGGCGGCTCCCAGATGGTGGCTGCCGAATTTTCAGCTGAGTCACCAGACACGCAGGGAAACGCTCTATGGGTTGGACGTCTGGGCCACTGAAAAAGCCAAGCGCACCCTGGCTGCCTGTGGCAGACCGAACAAGACGCCAAGGGAGAAATAGGGGGGGAGGGGTTTACCAAATCTGATGGCACCGTCTCCCCAGCAGGGTGTGGGAAGCAGACTTGCCACAGCCCGGCTGGAGCTGCCCCGTTCAATCAGCCAACCAAAGGAATGCCGAGAGGCAGCACAGGGTGTAATCTGCAGACCCTGGGGCTCCCTGCCAGCCGCCCCGCCTTCCCGCTCCCCGAGCTCTGCAACACGACACGCTGTACTTTAGAGACACGCTTCACCTTTGGGCCCCCGCTTGGACCCAGGCTCTTCTGGTTCCATGGGGCCTCGCCGCACGTCACGTGGCTCCACAAGATTACAGGGCAGACCCGTCCCTGCGGCGATTGTGGCTGTTGGCCAACGGATCCCTCCTATGGGGAAGGCCTCTTCCCAACCCTCCCGTCCCCACAAAGCTGTTCCAATGACAGGCCCGATCCTGCAACCCTTCCTCCTGCCCCATTTGCGGGACTTGACCGGGAGCTCTGCAGGACTGGACTAAACCAACACTCCAAGTCCATTTCCAACGGCGGGAAATACAACAGGCCACTGAAATCGCCCGCCTGCATGCGCCAACAAACAAACAGCCGCTTCAGGGCCTTGTAAGTGTCCTGAGGCTGCCAGGGTGTCAATTCATAACTCCTCCGGCCACTCAAAACCATGGACTCAGCGGAGACTCTGGTTTTCTGGCTCATCACAACACCGGGTAACACGCTCTGCTGCCTGCTAACACATAACTGACCACTCCATTTTAAGGGGTGTCCTACAGCATGTGCGTGAACCCCACATACTCAATCAGTCCTACCTTACATTTACCTTGGAGGCTCTGGTTACCTTCTCCAGATCTGAGGAAGAGCTCCGTGTCCCTCGAAAACTTGCCCCTTCCCCCAACAGAAGTTGATCCAATAAAAGATATTAGCTCCCCCACCCTGCCTCTATAATCAATAATAGACTCTGTCCTAGCACTTTTCATCAGCAGATCTCAAAGCGCTTCACAAAGGAGGTCAGTAGCATGAACCCCATTTCGCAGTTAGGGGAAACCGAGGCACAGAGAAAGTGGGGACAACAGCACTGCCCTGCCTCCCTGGGGCGTCGTGAGGATAAATCCATTACAGGTTGTGAAGGGCTCGGCGATCCGGTGAGGAGAACCGGGTGTCGTGCTTGGCGGGGCTTGCGAGACAGATATATGTGGTGATAACTCCACTCCCGCCACGTTTCCCCTTTTCCAGCTGCGAGATGATTTTATTGCTCTTCCCCTGCCCCCTAAGAGAGACACGCACAAAACAAAGAGGTGGGATCAAATTAGCCAAAGCCCCCTAAGTGATTTAGGAGCCTTTCTCCCATTGACTTTCAATGGGAAAGCTTGGGGCTTGTCTACCGAGGGAAATCGACCAGCCAAGCTACTCTGGAATAACATTCCACGTGGACGCACTTATTCTGGAACAGCTGTAGTGTTTTCAGCTCGCGCCCTACCTGATTCCAGAATCACTTTCCTGCCCAGACAAGTCGCAGGCTCCTAAGTCCCTTTGGAAAATGGGACTTCAGCTGCTTAGTCACTTGGGTGCTTTTTAAAAGTTTACTCCTGGGGCCCAACTCTGCGTTGCCCTGCACGCTGGGCCCCATTCTCCACTGGCCTGTGTAGCCTAGTGGGTAGAGCATTGGACTGAGACTCAGAAGTCTTGGGCTCTAGTCCTGGCTATGCCACCGGCCAGTCACAACAACGCCCCATGCCTCAGTTTCCCCATCTGTAAAACAGGGATAAGGATTCTGCCTTCCTTCGGCCAGTGTTACGGAAGAGCTAGGCAGTATTGTTTTCATTGTTAAACCTACACAAAGTGGGTGCAAATTTGCCCTGTTGTGAATGGCTGCAAAGAGGCAGGCCGGTGGGGACTCGGGGTTGTTAGACCCGGCTGACAGGCTCAAACTCCGTCGCAGGAAATGTGGCAGCAAAATGGGATTGGGGCCGAACAGCAGAAGGGGTGAAACATTCTGGGGGGTGGAGGTGAAAAACCGACAGGAGGAAAAGGGGAAGATTTGTAATGACTGGAACAGAGGTCGGCAGCTGGGAGGGGGTGGACTGGAAGGAGATAAGAATCGCGGTTCAAGAGGAAGGCTGGCCTGGTGGATACAGCTGGGCCTCAGGATATCTGGGCTCAGCTCCAGTGCCTGGATCAAACTCCCTTTATCACTTCGGACAATTCTAGTCACCGCGTCGTGCCTCAGTTTCCCCACCTGTAAATGGGGGGAGGGGTGATCACGTAGCTTCCTTGCAGGGGAGAGGCGAGCCTGAATACACAGGATGTTTTAAAGGACCAGGGGAGCCTCAGCCAAAGGCAGAACAGAAGAGCACAGTATTATCATAGAATACGACTTGGCAATTCCATAGCCGGAGGGACATCTCGGGCCGCTCCAGCTCACAATAGCAGAGGCCGGCACTCCCAGCCCTGCTCTCGACGCTGAGGGAATCGTATGTCGCCTCCTTGGTTTGAAGCTGTTTAATCTGGGACATTTGCAGACCAGACCAGACCAGAATCCTGTGCCCAAGAGAATGGATCGGAGCTAGTCTCATGCCTTCACCCCGGCTTAGCCTGCATGGAGGATTCACTCGCTTGTGGCCAGCGTGAACCCAAGTGCAGAAAGGCAAAGCCGAACGCAGCTGAGCCGGGCTCCAAGCAGGAGGACGCTACGCTGGGTGCAAATTGTGCCTTAGTGTCTGGCTTTATTGTGTGCTGTCTGCCTCGGCACGGCTGGACTGCCCCGTCCCCTAAGGCGGTCGCTCTGAGCCAGAGAGCCCCATCAGGCAGGGGATGCGGATTTTAATCGCGCTGAGCCAGCCGCCTCCTGCCCCCCACGGGACTCCCAGTCCCGACCGAGATCCAAGCAATCTATCCAGGGCATAAAGCGCTTTCCACGCTCTCCCTTTCCAGACGAGCGCGTCACGCTCCGCTGCGGCCGCAACCCTTATCGGGCATTCACAACACGGAGCCTTTCTTCGGCTCGGGCCGGCTTGGGAGATTAAGCCCCCCGATAACTCTCTGAATAGCCCCCTGCGCTAGCCACCCGGCACCCTCCAAGCCCGCGCTGTGCCGGCACAGCGAGCCGAGATGGGCCACGGCAAGCCAAGCCACGTGACAAACAGCTGGATACCGACCAGTCCCTCTGTGTAGAGCCTGGTGGGGTTGATTGTGCCAGGAGGCAGAGCGGGGTGTGGGATGGGGCACAAGGAACGTGGGACACTCGACCACACATCATGCAGGCCTAACCCAGCTGCGCTCCGGGGCTGTAACACCCAGGGTCAGCGCTCGGAAGGGGAAAAAACAGCCCCAGAGCGGCAGCAAACCCAGATTCCTCCCGGGCTCGCTCTTGTCACAACAGCACCAAAAATGCAGGAAGCAGGAGACAGGAGGGGTTATCGGAGGGCAGGGCTGCTGGGGAAAGCATCAAGGGCACCCTCTCTGTTCCAGCCGGCGGGGAGCGTTTGACTGGTGTGAAACAGACAGACAGAAAGTGGCCAGGGAAAGAAAAAGAAAAAGAAAAAGAAAAAGAAAAAGGCCAGGAAGGGAAACGGGGCAAGGGGAAAAACGAAGCAGAGATTAAAGGAGAAGGATGTGGGAGGCACCGGCAGGTTGCTGATCAAGGCCACATCTAGAGACACCCCCCCGCCCCCTCAGCCAAAAGCGCCTCCCAGGCATCCTTCTCCTCTGCGTGTCCAACCAGTCGGAAAAGCCGAATATCTGATCAGGCCGCATCTGTGCGCTAAAAAGCTCCCG